ACGATAGAATCAGAGATAGGGGGTGAAGAAGAAAGCGAAGCTTTCTTACCGACAGGGGAGGAGGAAGAAGAGGAGCCAGGTTTCCGCTTCTGACTCAAAGATACAGGCGTCCCAGCAGCAATGTACTGGGCAACAGACTCCAGTGTCTCGATAGGAGAAGAAGAGCGAGAGCGAACAACACAACCATCAGGAGAGCGATGGACATCGACCCGCACAGTCAGGAGGCGTGGAGAGCCAAGAGACGGCGGAGAAGGACGGGAAGGAGGACTAGAGGGAGAGGAAATAGAAGACACAGGAGACGCGACAGACTGAGTAGAAAGAAGGGGAGCCCTAGACAGAGACCCAGGAGGGAGATCCTTCGGGACAGAACGGAGGGAAACAGGGGAGGTGGTGGTGGGCGTGTCCGGGTTTAAAGCTCGGAAACGCTTGTGAGACTGAGGAAGGCGGGAAGGACAAGGAGAGGAAGAGCGCACCACGCGAGCATAGGAGACACCAGCGAAAGAGGGGGGACGATGAACTTGGCGCCGAGCCTCAGGAAAAGATAACGGTCCCGGTGCTTCAAGTTGAGGACAGCCGCCTCAAGTTTGTAACGAATACACGCACGGGAGAAGGTAGGGTGGGCCTCACCGCAATTGAGGCAGCGGGCCTGGGGAGAAGTGCACTCCAACTTAGAGTGACCCTCACTTCCACACAGGGGACAGAGAGAAACAGGACTAGAGCATTTGAGGGTACCATACCCAAACTTCCAGCACTAACTGCAGAGCCGAGGAGATGGAATATACTCCTGGACGGAGCACCTGGCACCAGCAAGAATGACAGAGGGCGGAAGGGTCCTACCATCAAAGGTAACCTTCACAACCCGAAGGGGCAGACGGCGACGACCACGAGAAGGACGAGTAAATGTATCCACCTGGAGGACAGAATGACCCTGGGCCTCGAGGATATGCTTGATATCCTCGTGGCAGTCCTTGAGATCCCTAACACCGGTCGCAACATGGTGCGGGAGGAGAACAGTACCAACACTGGCATTCAACCGAGCGTTCTTCGAGACCCCAAACAGGGGTTTCGCCAAGGCAGGATAAGGCGGCCAAGCGAGTGGCAATGGGGGCCTATATAAAGGGCAGAGGAGAGGTCATGCGTGCCACTGCTCTACCTGTTGTACAGGTTCAAATACCTCCAAGTTTCTCACAGATAAAGGAGTAAATCAAGAAGAAAATATTCTCAACTATCAAAAGTCGCCACAGAGCCAAAGTAGCGGAAGGAAGATCCACAGACTCAGACTTGGTTACAAGTGCTGCTGGGAGGTAATGAACCCAATAGTTAAAGAGTGTCACATCTGTGAAACTGAAGCAGAGGCGCTACTATTGCACTACTTACTGGAATGTGAAGCTACTGAACCCCTGCGCATCAAACTCAACATTAATCCAACGACAGCAGCTGCATTAGATGCACATTCCACTGCGACTACAATGATTAGGAAAGCTGTTGAGGAATGGGACTCATTAGTGAGCATTCTGCATCTACATCCGCCACCAAGATAATGTTAATAAAACAAGATTAAAACCAGTGCACTAAAACAGAAGCGATAAATAAGCAGGGAAAAAGGAGAAGTCCTCTCCTCCATTTTAAACTTGGACCCAAATATCACAGGAAAATGGTTATCATGTATAACCAAACTCAATTACGGGCTCACCATAGCCCGTGCTACATAGACACTTCGTCCTGAGTAGCTAAATCTTTAACAACAACAACAGGTCATGCGTTCTCTCCTGCTCCTGACACGCTCCGCTTCGCAAGTCAAAAAAGAAAAAACTTCGTTCTTCACACAACGACACGTGGAACATTCGTCTGTACTGTAGATAAATAAATAAATAAATAAATATGTTTATTCAGGTAAGGTACATACATACATACAAGTGATGTTACATTAATGGATTGATATATAGATAGAGCTAGTACATACAATGCCTAAAGCCACTATTACGCAATGCGTTTCGGGCAAGAAAAACATTAATATCTAGAACTTAATACTAATTGAGCATAAAGAATAAAAAGTTATGAGAACAAATACAAATAAAGATAAAAAAAAGGGGGAACATGACTGAAAAAGCAGCACAAATACAATAGGTTGACAAACTGTTGATTAAACAAAAAAATTACAGACATGGGTTGACAATAGAGGAGTGAGGTAGGTTACGGGGAATTTATTAGGTAGTGTTTAGTTTTTATCTTAAACTGGTTGAGAGAGGTACAGTCTTTAATATGGTTGGGAAGGTCATTCCACATTCTGGGTCCCTTGATTTGTAGAGCATTTCTAGTTTGATTAAGTCGTACTCTTGGAATATCAAAACTGTATTTATTTCTGGTGTGGTGCTCATGGGTTCTGTTTCAACCTTCGATGAAGCTTTTGAGGTCAGGATTGGCATTACAGTTCAGCGTTTTATATATGTATAATACACAAGAGAGAATGTGCAGTGACTTAATATCTAACATATTCAGAGATTTGAGTAGGGGTACCGAGTGATGTCTGGGGTCTGATAAAGTCTGTTTTTGCTGTGTTCTCAGGACCCTCAGGACTCAACGAATTGCAAGCTAAAAAACCCTCAACTAACTGGCACTAGGCACGGTTAATGTGCTACGACTTATTTCCTTAGTTGCATCTTTGCAGTACTGGCATTCTACTCAGTCATGTTATACGACATCATTTATATTGTGATACAGCAGTTGCTCTGTATACATTATTTAATAAATTAAGGTCCCCCCAATCCTGGCTTGTTTTTTCTCCCCGATCAGAAATGTCTGGACTGTTGAGGGATCATAAGTGTTGTACCACTCTGACACATGAGCAACAAAGTCTTCACGTCGAGCAGGAGGAACACTGAGCCGTTTGCGTTTAAAAGTCCCACCGGGCAGGATGGTATTTCCTATACATAGAGTAGTCAATCTAGGGTGATGATCTGACAACAAATCTGTTACAATAGATGATGTGCACCAGACGTGAGAGACGGGTGAAACCAACACAGAGGTCTAGAATGCCTCCACAAATATGCGTGGGTTCAAGGTCACCCACAATCTGCACATCTTGGTGACTATTTAGTAGCGACAGCAGTTGATTCCCGTTACCGTTACTGAAGCGAGAGCCACCAATGTCCTTGTGTCTAGCATTGTAGTCACCAAAAATGATGGTTGGCTCTGCTTGAGCGCAGGCCGGAAGATCAATATAAGTTAACTTTCCTGCTGGAGCATATAGATTAAATACATTGAAAACAGAGTTGCCCACATAGATCCTCACTCCATGATACTGTTGACCAGCAGTTTGTTTTTCTGGCAGAAGTTGATGGGGGTAGGGATTGTTTGATGTATAGAATACAAAAGTTACTGGATCTGAGGTTGTAAGAAACAAATGAGGGCAATTTCGGGGGTGAGGATCTTGCGGGAACTCTGCACTCCTGGAGACATACAATATCGATGTGTTCAGTTGTTACTTTGTGATGTAAATCTGAGAACCTTTTTTTGAGGGATGCAATGTTCCAGCTTAGGACGGATAACTTAGTTAATTGTGCATTTAAAGTCAGCATTATATATTGATATTATTAGTTCACTTAATATTTATTATCTATATACATATTATCGATTGCACTACGATATAAGTCCAGGAACATTTCTTAGTTTATTACCAATGTCACACATTTGCCTCCAATTGTCTAGTACAATTTGTCTGTCATTTCCAGCTATAGAGTCGTTGTAAACATACTTTAGCACAACTTTGGCAGTTAACCTGCGTGGAAGGGCTCCACTACACAAGGTTTCAAGATCACTAGAAGTTTCCCCTGATGGGCAAGCGAACACATGTTTGGAGGGTTCAGGGGTGGAAGGGGGAGTTTGGCAGTCATTGCTTACAAGTCCCCTCATACACGTGACCATCATCGAAATATCGCTGGTGGATTTTTTCTCATGTTGGAGTTGCTCTTGCAGCCGCTCCGTTTGCTGCTGAGACTGCTGCTGGTGTTCCTGCAACTAAATAAACATTTATTTATTTATTTATTTGATTACTGGGAATATGGGATAGGTGTTCATGATAATGACACGAAATGTAAACTATGTGGTATGTTAAGGTCTCACACCCTTGCCCATTATGTTCTTGATTGTCCGTTGATTAGTGTATATAGAAACACTGAGATAAGGACTGTTCCTGAACAAATAGCCTGGATGTGTCACAACGGAAAGGTTGATTATATACCTTACCTTGAGGGTAAGGTATATAATTCTTGAGAGATATAAGAATTTTGCACCAAGACTGTAATTTTTTGTGGAATTATCTGCATGTCTCTTGCAAATTGTCTATACAGTATACCTCGGTCATAAAAGTATTTGTGTGTACGTCTGGTACCATACATACTACTTGTGTAAAGGAGGAAATGTAGATGTTTATCTCTCAGAATGTTTTTTAATATGTTTATTGTTTGTGATGTGTGTATGTATGTATTAACACGATGTACTGATTGGGGTGAGAATAGCTTGAGCTACCTCATCCCTTTGTGTGTAATTTACCTCAAAAAACTTATTTCAATTTCAATTTCAAGGACAAAGCGCTCGCGGAACGCCAGGCGAGTCTTACCACTACACCACGGAGACTGACCTGAATCTACTGAACAGCGTAACATAATCGTACGTTACAACATCAATGCTATGTACTCTCATAAACCCAGTGTACCTACTTGTATAATAAATAAATAAATAAATAAATAAATAAATAAATAAATAAATAAATAAATAAATAAATAAATAAATAAATAAATAAATAAATAAATAAATAAATAAATAAATAAATAAATAAAATAAATAAATAAATATATTGCCCGTAACTATAGTGAGTTTATGTAATATCACTATGTATAACTACTTTAACTTGTCCATTATTCTTTTTGGGATGAATTACATATTTCTGCTGCCCTGGTGGTACAATTAGGTTAGTACACAGATTTCACCGATAGTCATTTGTTGAACTTTCCCGCCAATATAGTTTGTAAACAAACATGGCAGCAGAAGGCAGCAGGATGGAGGTGGATGCTCGTGAGAACTTGAATAAGGCAGCTGCTGCAGCTGACAAAGCTGCCCATGCACCATGGTAAGTGTTCTGTGATAAGGGCGCATCTGTCCCTCCATCAGCAGTGCGTGACAATACACCACACGACGAAGGAAGTCTAGAGACTCCCGGGTTCTGGTTGCTGGTTCTATGCAGCATGATTTCAAAGTTTTCCTCTGGCTTTATACCTTTTTTTTTTACAATTATTTACTTCATTCAAAGTTGACTACCTACCCTGGTAGTCTAGCTAATAGTATGAATTGAGATGTACCAAGTGAAGTTTGTTCTTAAACGTTACATCAATTAATGATAATTGTTAGAAATGTTTACCAAAGACTAACAAGAAGTTTGGAAACGGGCCTCACAAGCTTAGCCACCAGACGAGACATAATGTATGCTAACTATCTATCACTGCACCTCTGCTCACCCGACACACCCATACAGATAAAAAGTTAACCCAACAGTTAACCCACATAACCCCTGCTTCCCCACCAATTACTCACAACCTTTCCTCAGACGGGCTACCAATAACCGCAATATAGACATCATTTAACTCCCAAACTCTGATACCCAACTTACTGTCCCGCCTATTCCACCATGGCTTTATACAATTCTTAAAACATCAATAAACTGGAAGACAACATTCCAAAGTCTGCACCAAACTCAGCCATAGCCTCAGTCTTTGTCTCAACAATGAAAAATTGTTACCCACATACCACAGTAATTTATACAGATGGATCTCGCATCCTCATGAACATCGCACCCTCGGTCACTAGCGCTGTATGGATACCAGAATACCATCTCGAACAGGGATGGCGGTTACCAAGCCAACTATCTATTTTGACGGCTAAATTATATGCCTTATACCAAGCTCTCCAAATAATCACATTACCAGTTCTGATATACAGTGGCATCTCGACTTACGATTGCCTCTACTTACGATAATTTCGAGTTACGATGTAAATTTGATCGAAAAATGCGACTCGACATCTGATGGTGTCGTCGACTTGCGATATTTGTTGGTACACGTTTGGGTCGACCGAGCGTGTGGTTCCCGGTCACGCGGCCGACCTGCCTCAGTTTACTACAGCTGCCTGCTTAGTGATGATTGTGCCTATAAGAAATTTCGCTTTTGTGTTGATTTTTTGCATTTTGAACATTAATTATTATATATATAACGCCATGAGTCCCAGGAAAGTCAGTGGTAAGGCTCAACATATGAGTAAGGCTGACCATAGAGCAGAAACAAGAGATCATTCGTAAATATGAAGATGGTGTGCCGGTTGTTGGACTGGCTAGGCAGTACAACAAATCTCAGTCAACGATACCCACCATACTGGCTAGGAAAAAGGACATTATGGGTGCTAAAATGATGCATCATTACAGACAAATGTTAAAACAAAGGGAAAAACAAATGTGTCTTGACAAATTTGTAGCGAGAAACAAGCACTGAACCACAACCAGGTCCTAGTGGTATTAAGGCAAAACGTAGGAGAGAGAGTATCCCAGAGAAAACATCACTGCCTGATGTGATAATGGAAGCGGACTCACCTTCCAAACAGTAACAATTCTCCTCTTCCCCCCTCATCACCATCTTCCATATGCCATCAAGAGCCCTCCATAAAGGTAAGATAAACTTAGGTACTGTATTGTAGTTGGAAAAAAAACATTGTATTCAATATAAAATGTATTTGTATGTTAATATTTTGGATGGTAGGGAACGGATTAATTCAAATCCCTTTATTTCTTATTGGAAAAATCGCTTTGACTTACGATATTTCGACTTACGATCCGTCTCTGGGAACGGATTAGCATCGTAAGTCGAGGCCCCATTGTATATACAATCTGTAATGATGCCAAGAGTGCGATTAAGCAGTTACGTATTCTTCCACAACGTGCAAAGAGTTTGTTTACCCATGCCTTCAACTTCTGCATGAACATTGATTGAACAATTATGACACCTCTATCCAGTGGGACCCAGCGCATTGTGGTATACTCCATAATGATCAGCTGGCCAAAGTGATGCACACCACACCTTATATTACCCGTCATCCAATTTCTCATGTTGCACGTAAAGGAGCATTCAAAGATACCATCACCCAAGATTTTGTAATGAAATGGAAAATGTCATGCTCACCTTTGTACTATAGGAGCCGGTCGGCCGAGCGGACAGCACGCTGGGCTTGTGATCCTGTGGTCCCGGGTTCGATCCCGGGCGCTGGCGAGAAACAATGGGCAGAGTTTCTTTCACCCTATGCCCCTGTTACCTAGCAGTAAAATAGGTACCTGGGTGTTAGTCAGCTGTCACGGGCTGCTTCCTGGGGGTGGAGGCCTGGTTGAGGACCGGGCCGCGGGGACACTAAAAGCCCCGAAATCATCTCAAGATAAATCTCGAGATAGGTCCATAAAAAAAGAAATGGGAAACTTCGAAACATGTCAGATATAAAAGCAGAGAAATTGATGTAGCAATGACCAGATTAAGACAGGGACACATCAAACTGGCAGCACACAGCACTAAATGCAGTACAGACATGCGCCAGAAACAATCGAACACAACCTCCTTCACCATTTCCAATATCACAGTGCAAGAGTAAACTTCAAACAAGTGTTATTGCACTTAAAATACCCTTTAGCATCGAACATATGTACTGTACAGTACATTGTTTACATCATATGCTGTATAATACCTACATTTTTTATTATTAAAGTGATGATTCTCATAGATACTTGATAATAGGTTTAGTTCTTGGTCTATACTAGGTTGCATAAGTAGGCTGTTTGATGATAAAATAGCAAAGGTACAATTAATGATGGGGAAAAGAGAAAATGAGAAATGAATGATGGGTAAAGAGAAAAAAGTAATTTCAGTAGAATAATAAAATTTGGAGCAAACAAAAAATCTAGATATAAAAATAACCATAGAATGAAATGCAAATTAAATAGGAACAAGTAAAAATGAAATCAGAATTAATGTAATTAGACAGGTCTAGTATGCTTAAGCTGTCAGTTAGGCTATTCCTTGTAATTACCCAAGTGTAATTACCTAAGTGTAGTTACAGGATGAGAGCTACGCTCTTGCTGTTCTGTCTTCCTAGCACACTTTGTCATATAACGCTTTGAAATTGCTGACAGTTTTGGCCTCCACCACCCTCTCACCTAACTTGTTCCAACCGTCTACCACTCTGTTTACAAAAGTGAAATTTCTTATATTTCTCTGGCAGCTTTGTTTCATTAGTTTAAATCTATGATCTCTTGTTCTTGAAGTTCCAGGTCTCAGGAATTCTTCCCTATCGATTTTATTGATTCCTGTTACTATTTTGTATGTAGTGATCATATCACCTCTTTTTCTTCTATCTTCTAGTAAGGTATGATTGTGATCATATCGCCTCTTTTTCTTCTATCTTCTAGTTTTGGCATATTTAATGCCTCTAACCTCGCCTCATAGCTCTTATCCTTCAGTTCTGGGAGCCACTTAGAGGCATGTTGTTGCTCCTTTTCCAGTTTGTTGATGTGCTTCTCAAGATATGGACACCATACAACCGCTGCATATTCCAGCTTTGGTCTAGCAAAAATCGTGAACAATTTCTTTAGTATTTCTTCATCCATGTAATTAAAAGCAATTCTGAAGTTAGAAAGTGTAGCATAGGCTCTTCGCACAATGTTCTTAATGTGGTCCTCAGGTGACAGTTTTTTTTTATTTAGAATCATCCCTAGATCTTTATCAGAATTCTTTAAAGATTTCTCACATAATTTATAGGTTGTGTGAGGTCTTTGTGTTTCTATTCCACATTCCATAACATGGCATTTATTCACATTAAATTCCATTAGTCAAGTGGGGCTCCATTTTTGTCCAGGTACTTATTTTGTCCAGGTACTTATTTTGTCCAGGTCGTCTTAGAGGGCATGGCAATCATCTAAGTTTCCTATCTTCCCTATTATTTTAGCATCATCAGCAAACATGTTCATATAATTCTGAATTCCATCTGGTAAATCGTTTATGTAGACAATGAACATTACCGGTGCAAGAACTGAACCCTGTGGTACTCCACTTGTAACATTCCTCCAGTCCGATACATTGCCTCTGATTACTGCCCTTATTTTTCTATCAGTTAGAAAATTTTTCATCCATGTTAGAAGCTTACCTGTCACCCCTCCTATATGTTCTAGTTTCTAGAACAACCTCTTATGTGGAACTCTATCGAAAACCTTTTTTAGGTCTAGATAGATGCAGTCAACCCAACCATCTCTTTCCTGTAAAATCTCTGTAGCTCGATCATAGAAACTGAGTAAATTTGTTACACAGGATCTTCCAGAGCGAAAACCATACAGTCTGTCTGGCATTATATAGTTTTTCTCCAGGTGTTCTATCCATTTACCTTTAATTATTTTTCCAATATTTTGACTATCGCACTTATCAATGATACAAGTCTATAATTGAGGGGGGTCTTCCCTGCTGCCACTTTTGTAGATTGGAACAATGTTAGCCTTTTTCTAGACATCTGCTATGACTCCTGTACACAGGGATGCCTGAAAAATCAGTCGAAGTGGGATGTTGAGCTCAGGTGCACATTCTCTCAGAACCCATTTTGAAACTCCATTGGGACCAACTGCTTTGTTCTTACTTAGTTCCTTGAGCATATTTTCCACTTCATCTCTAGACACCTCTGTGCTCTATGTTCTATGGAATTCTTATTGTGTCTGGTTCCCTGAAGATTTCATTTTGCACAAACACACTTTAGAACTTTTCGTTTAATGTTTCACACATTTCCTTTTCATTTTCTGTGAATCTGTTTCCCATTTTCAACCTCTGAATATTATCCTTTACCTGCAATTTGTTGTTTATGAATTTATAGAATAGGCCTGGTCCTGTTTTACATTTGTTCGCAATCCCTTTTTCAAAATTTCTTTCTTCCTCTCTCCTCACTGCTGTGTAGTTGTTTCTCGCATCTTTGTATCGCTGGTATGTTTGGGGGTTTGGCCTCTTCCTATATTGATTCCATTTTTGTGTCTTTCGTCTCTGGCCCTCTCGCAATTTCTGTTGA